GTCATAGACCTAAACTCTTACTAGGACTGTCTCTCTGCATCCACTTCAGCTCATCATACTAATGTTTGCATAAATTCTAGTGGGTTGAGGAAGGACAAGCTTGGGGAAAATTTCACTCTTCCAGCCAAAATCCCTTTCTTTTAGAAAAAGCATTATTTTAGAGTCACAATAAAATTTTTAAAAAGAGCCATGAGTAGTTACCGAAGACCCCTTGTCCTCATAGACCCAGCAGAAATTATAGTGCCTTTTACTGCTGAAGAGATAAAATGTTATGGAAAGACAATGAAAAAATATGGATACCATCAAAATTAATAAAGATTCGCTTTGAAACGGAGAAACCTCTTGAAAAAGAAAAATGACAGCTCATCCACAACAGTGGATAGCATACAGGTGGTAAGGAAACCTCATAAGGGTTGGGGCAGGCTTTTGCTCTTATCTTTACAGGAAAATACTCATCATCAAAAATTCAAGAGACTCTGGATGTTTGAATGCTGACAGAAGGAAAAATAACTATCAACTAAGGATCATCTAGAAAACAGAATATGGATCATATATAAAGGTACTGGTTACACACACACACACACACACACACACACACTCACACACACATATTCAGCTGGTTTTGGAGTTGGACAATGGCTCTGTACCTCTCTAAATCCATGCATGTGGTTAAAAGGAACATTCAGAGTTTCTGTTTCCTATCAGAAGCCATCTGGTATGAGACAGAAGGAAGACTTTAGGGAAAATTTTTACTTTCTTCGTCTCTATTTTGTCTATATCATATTCTTCATTGAATGTATGTTTGTATGAATGATGTTTAAGTTTTCCACGATGAACTATAGATTTTCCTACAGATCCTTTTCCTGCAGTAATCTTTCAAGTTTCCAGAAAGAAGATGGGGCCCCACAGCAACAACTCCACCTAGTTGAGATAACATTATGTTGCTGACAGCACTACTATAAGACCTGTTTTGGGGGTACCAGATGCTGATATGGTGCACCTTCTCATGATGTTCTGGCCAGAACTCCAAATAAGAACTTTGAAAAAACCCTATCAACTGCTCAGAAATTGTTTGCAGCTATACTAGACAGTAATTTTGAAACTTAACCATCACTTTACTTTTGCAGGATCCCATTAAGAGAACATCACTCCATGACAGCAATAAGCAATTCTAGAGGACGATGTCCCCTATCCCAAAAATGTTTGTCCGTAGGGTTGGGTACACTGTTTAGGGGTTGTTGATTATTATTTGTATTAGATAGTGGGTTGGGGTGAAAACTATGTTTGTTCAAAAAAACAAAAGACTAACAATAGTGGGTAATAGAGTGAATACTTATGAGCTGTTATTTATGAATAATTTACATTAGTATAGTTTTGTATATTGACACAAGTTCAAATTGTATTTGTTATTTTTGTTTACATTATTTGTACACCTATGCAAAGTTATTCTGTTAGATTGTATATATGCATGTTTCTATCTCTGTTTAGGACATATTTCATATTGCATTATATATTACTCCTACCTCTGATCAAGATACTTATAGACTGTTTACATTTTGAGATCATTATCTTATTTGTTGCACATTTATTTACAGATTATTTAATATTCTAATATGAAGTTTTAGTCTTTAAGTTATACAGATATTAATTATATTAACCATTATAGGTCAATGGTTGTTCATGTTTGTTGTGCTTACAGTCAGATCAATTAGGTTCTTTAGCTATCTAGAGATTGTATTCTATCTAGATGAGTAATCTTCACCCACTTCAAGGATCTGTAGAACATGGTATTTAAATAACTTAGGGTTCTGTTGACATGAGACATGATTGCTCCTGACAGCACTAATCTATTCCCGAGAGAATATTGATCACCAAAGAAACTCCACTCAGAGTTTGTTTTTTTCTTGGCACCATTGGATTTTGGGCAAGAACTGCTCATACTTCATCCACTGACAGAGTACATGTTATCCGGAAATGGATAAGCAGGACACAAGGAAAAAGATTGTCAAACCTTGCCAAGACAGGGTAAAATGGTTCTGAAATTTTTCCTGTCTCTGAAAATGGTCTGCCAGTTATTCTAGGCCTTAGCCAAAGGATGGTTGCTTCAACGTTGCAAAATAAAACTTTAGGTGATTGCTCAGGTAGCTAACTGTCTCTGTCATATATTGCTCGCTTTGTAAGCTGCTTGATTGTACTTCCTGCCTGCTCAAGTAATATTATCTCTCTTATCAGGCCTCTGATGGGGTTGAAGATTAGATAGTCGTAGTTACTGTACTCTTATGATCTAGCCAAGCCATTTCCTATGCAATACTTAGACTCCTTAGGATGTTTATTAAAACATTTAGCATACATTCCTTGTTTAATATTGTTTATGCTAGTTGTAATTCTAATTATACTTGATATCTATTTCTAGTGTATATAGTTTTGTATTGGGTTTGGAACCCTCTTATTTTTTAAAAAAAAGGGGGGGGGGGAAGTGTTGTGAAAAGACATTCTGTTCCTTCAGTCAATAGCCGTCAAGATACCATCCCACTTGGGTGTGGTCTCCTATACTGTAGAAGCAGTTGTAAGCTGCACCCGCTCTTTTGGTTCCAGCTCCTGCTCTCAGCTGCTAGACTCTGTTCCTGTTCATGCAGAAGACTGTTATCTAGGACAGTGGTCTGTAAGTGTTCCCTTCTATTTTATAAGTAACCCTTTTATTATTCATAATTCTGAACTGGTGTGGGATTATTTGGTGATTTCCATCATCACACACCCCCCACCCTGTCCTGAGCTAGGCAGCTCTGGTTTGCTGATTGACACCCCAAGTGGCTGGTTTAAAGTCCTACCCAGGGACACTCATGCTCCTGACAAGCCTTCTGTGTCTCCTAGGGTGAGTTCTCACTCTGTGAAATGCCTCTTTGTATCTTCTGTCTTTAAGCACCCACCCTATCCTCAAGCCTAGCTTGAGGGTGACCTCAAACTCCCAAAGAACACAAAATTCAAGAGGATCCCAAACTCCCCTGCAGTTTAGGAGCCCTTCTGAATTTGCCCCTGGCTTCAGCCTTCATTCTACTCAGGGGAAATCTTCCTCCTCTTTCAGGATCCAGACATGCTCACCTCACCTAGGCAGGTGTGCATTTCTGTCATCCTGTCACACTTTCTCCTACTGATTTCTGGGAAGAGCTTGACTATATAAAGCTACAAGGACAAAAACTATTTCTTTTTTCAAAGAGTTAAAGTTCTTGCCATACAAGCCTTCCACTTGTATGGTCAGAGTTACTCCAAGAAATTTTATGTTACTAGTGGCTATTGTGAAGGGTGATGTTTCTCTGATTTCTTTCTCAGCCCATTTATCATCTGTGTACAGGAGGGCTACTGAGTTTTTCGAGTTAATCTTGTATCCTGCCACATTACTGAAAGTGTTTATGAGATGTAGAAGTTCCTTGGTAGAATTTTTGGAGTCGCTTATGCAAACTATCATATCATCAGCAAATAGTGAGAGTTTGGCTTATTCTTTCCAATTTGTATCCCTTGATCTCCTTTTTGGTGTCTTATTGCTCTAGCTAGGACCTCAAAAACTATACTGAATAGTTATGGAGAAAGTGGATAACCTTATCTTGTTCCCGATTTCAGTGGTATTGCTGGGAATTTCTCTCCATTTAGTTTGATGTTGGCTGTTGGCTTGCTGTATATTGTCTTTAGTGAGATTCCATCTTACACCTGTAAAAATAGCCAAGATCAAAAACACTGATGACAACTTATGCTGGAGAGGATGTGGGGTAAAGGGAACAGTACTGTATTGCTGATGGGAATGCAAGCTGGAACAGACCCTTTGGAAGTCAGTGTGGCAATTTCTCAAAAAATTAAAAAACAATCTTCCTCAAGAACTATAATACCACTTTTAGGTATATATCTAAAGGATGCTCAATCATGCAACAGGACATGTGCTCAACTATGTTCATAACAGCTTTGTTTGTCATAGCCAGAACCTGAAAACAACCTAAATGTCCCTCAACCGAAGAATGGATAAGGAAAATGTGATACATTTACACAATGGAGTACTACACAGCAGAAAAAATAACATTTTAAATTTTGCAGCCAAATGGATGAAGTTAGAAAACATTATTTTGAGTGAGGTAACCCAGACCCAGAAAGACATATATCATATGTACTCACTTGTAAGTGTTTTTCAAACATAAAGCAAAGAAAACCAGCCCACAAGTCACAATCCCAGGGAACCTAGACAACAATGAGGACCCTAAGAGAGACATACATAGATCTAATCTACGTGGGAAGTAGAAAAAGACAAGATCTCCTGAGGAAATCTCCTGAGCATGGAGACCTTGGGAGAGGGTTGAAGGGGAGGGAAGAGGCAGGGAGGGGAACAGAGAAAATGTAGAGATCAATAAAAAACAAAAACAAACAAACAAACAAACAAAAAACACCTCCAGCATAGACCATGTACCCATTTAAACACCACTCTTAAACTGATATTCACATAAGTATTTTTTAAAGTATTGGTTTTCCAACACTGACCTCAGGGCCACCCACAACACATAACATGTGGCTAAGGGATAGTTTTCCTGTCACCTCTCAGAACTCAACACTTGTGGCCTCTTTGCTCTAGGGTTGATCCCCATTCCTCCGGAGTCTTGTGCTCTTCAGAGCTCCACCATCTGGCAGATGGGGTCTCAAACCTAAAGATCAGACCACTCGAACCACCCACCAGCACTCACTCCAGTCTGCAAAGCTGGGTGTCCTCAAAAGGACACAGCTTCTCCACGTTGGAAAGGAACTAGGGAGTCTTGGTTTTTAAGGACTTGGTTTTTAGACCTCACCCACTAGGCAACTTGAGGTGGCCCAGACACTGGCTGAGCTCTGGCGGCAGCGCTGTTCCCGAGTGAGCAGCTGAGGGATGTGTTCCTTTCTATAACACCTGAGCCCTGGTCCTAGTCTGGATCCTTTATTTCTCTCCGCCCCTCTTCTCACGTTCAATTAATTGTCTCCTTTAGGTCCCTCCCTACAGCCTCTTCATAGCATTCGCTGGACTCGAAGGAGGGGTGGCAGGAGTGCCCCGAAGCTGTGCTCACCTATGCGGCTAACCTACCCTGAGATGCCTGAGAACAGCTCTGCTGCCAATTGCTGCGAGGCTGGCGGGCTGGCGATGTGCTCTACTTGGTCCGGGTCAGCGGGCACTGGCTCACCAGGGTCTCCCCGGGCTACTTGGGTGGCTCCCACGCTATTTACAGTGATAATTGTCACCACAGCCCTGGATGTCGTGGGAAACCTCCTTGTCATCCTGTCTGTGCTCAGGAACCGCAAGCTGCGGAATGCGGGTAAGTACCAACTTCCTTAGGGCTGGGTTCCTTCTATGCCCTGCCACTGCTTTGAAGCCTCAATCTTAGACCCTTTCCCAACGCACAAACACCCGGCCAGCCCCATTTTCTCTCCTCGGTGCCCTGTGTCTCCTTCCATTCATTTCATCCTGGTCCCAAACTTTGGTTCTTTGAAGAACTTAGGGGGAAGTTTTGGTTCCCGCATGCGAAGCTATTCTGGAGCTTGCCTCTACTCAGGGCACACTTGAGACACTAGTGCCAATGTGTACTGAGCCAGGCTTTTCTTGTGTACTTGTTAGTGGCAGGATGTGGGCGCTGTAGGGAAGCAGGCAGCTATCCATAGCATTTCAACTGTTACTGCTAGATGGGGCCTCTTTTGGCCGTGGACGCTCCCCACCTGTGAGAGAGACCCCTTTCCCTGCCTGCCGAACTGATTTCATAAGCAGGCAATTAAAAAGTCCTTGCTGGAGGGTGAGTGGATTCTGCACAGATGCGAGCAATGGATGGATGAGCATTCTCTTAGGCACCGTGTCAAAGACTCATCTCATCACTGGGAGATACAATTCCAAGTAAGAGTGTTAATTTAGACTCTTGTGGGCATGGCTTGCATCAACACTGACTTTTCTGCATGAAGATAGAGAAATCGGGGGACTCACTGTGAGAACCATAACAAAGATTTGGCTATATCAGGTGACAATTCTGAAATCATTTTTTTTCCTTTCCTATATATTCCCAGTTCCCCCTTTCCCTGCAGGATAACAAAACCAGAGGGAGGGGTGTTTAACTCGGCTCCTGACAGGGTACAGAGATGTGTTACCCAGTGACCTGAGAGGAACCCCAGGGACCCACTGGTTAATTCTGGAATTCCTTTTCTTCTTCTTTTTTTAATATTTGTTTTACTTTAAAGAAAACAAACTATCTTTTTCCATTATACATATCAATCCAAGTTCCTACTCTCTCCCCTCCTCCCATTCCCTCCACACACCCTCTCACCCCACCCCCATCCAATCCTCATAAATGGTAAGGCACATTGCTTTGTGGAAGATTCAAGACCCTCCCTACTATATCTAGGTTGAACAAGGTATCCATCCGAAGAGAATAGGAGCCCCAAAAAACAGTACATGCAGTAGGGATAAATCCTGGTGTCACTGCCAGTGGCCCCTCAATCTGCCTCAGCCATGCAAATGTTAGCAACAGAGGGACTAGTTTGGTCCTATGCTTCTTCCTTCCCAGTAAGGCTGGAGTTGGTAAGCTCCCATTAGCTCAGATAGACTGTTTCAGTGGGTGAACCCTTCATGGTCTTGATTTCTTTGCTCATATTCTCATTCCTCCCACTCTTCAACTGGACTTTGGGAGCTCAGTTCAGTGTTCCAATGTGGGTCTCTGCCTCTGTTTCCATCAGTTTCTGGATGAAAATTCTATGGTGATATTTAAGATATTCATCAGTCTGACTACAGGGCAAGTCAAGATTGGGCTCCCTCTGCCCTATTGCTTAGGGTCTTAGCCAGAGTCATCCTTATGGATTCCTGGGAATTTCTCTAGAGCCAGGTTTCTGCTAACCCTGTAATGGCTCCCTCAATCAAGATATCTCTTTCCTTGCTCTCATCTCTGTCCTTTCTCCTTCTCAACTATCCCATTCCCTCAAGTTCTTCTCATCCCTTCCATTCTCCCCTCCTCTTCCCCTCTAATGTCATTGATTTTCTGCCGAGTAGTTCTCTAATGTGTAAATGTGCACATTTTTTATCCATTCTTTGGTTGAAGGGCATCTAGATTGTTTCCAGGTTCTGGCTATTACAAACAGTGCTGCTATGAACATAGCTGAACAAATGCCTTTGTAGTATGATTGAGCATCTTTTAGGTACATGTCCAAGAGTGGTATTGCTGGATCCTGTGGTAGGTTGATTCCCAGTTTTCCGAGAAACCACCATACTGATTTCCAAAGTGGTTGTACAAGTTTACATTCCCACCAGCAATGGATGAGTGTTCCCCTTACTCCACATTCTTTCCAGTGTAAGCTATCATTGGTGTTTTTGATCTTAACATTCTGACAGGTGTAAGATGATATCTCAGAGTTGTTTTGATTTGCATTTCCCTGATGGCTAAGGATGTTGAACATTTCCTTAAGTATCTTTTGGTCATTTGAGATTCTTCTGTTGAGACTTTTCTGTTTAGTTCTATATCCCATTTTTTAATTGGGTTTTTAGAATTTTGATGTCCAGTTTCTTAAGTTCTTTATATATTTTGGAGACCAGTCCTTTGTCCAATGTGGGATTGGTGAAGAACTTTTTCCATTCTGTAGGCTGCTTTTTTGTCTTATTGACTGTGTCGTTTGCTTTGCAGAAGCTTCCCAGTTTCAGGAGGTCCCATTTGTTCATTGTTGCTCTCAGTGTCTGTGCTACTGGGGTTATATTTAGGAAGTGGTCTCCTGTGCCCATGCATTGAAGGCTATGACCTACTTTCTCTTCTATCAGGTTCAGTGTGGTCAGATTTATATTGAGGTTTTTAATCCATTTGGACTTGAGTTTTGTCCATTGGAACAGATAGAGATCTATTTTCATTCTTCTACATGTTGGCATCCCTCCTGGCATGCTGGGTGCCAGGGAAGCCTCTATGTGCAGAGTCTCCCTGTTTGGTCCTTAGGCTGTCTGTCATGAGAGGCATGGTTGAGGAAGTAACCATTGCTGCTTCTTACCTAAGGAAGATGAGAATCCCACTTCTTCATGCCACTTGGGACTGTCCCACTCTGTGCTCCCCACAGTGCTCAGCAGCCAGGAATAGAGAGCAGGTGAATTGTTGGTGCTTCATTCTATTCTCTACCTACAGGTGCCAGTGCTGCAGCCCAGCACCAGAGAAACAAACTAACTAACGTGCTATTCACATGCATTTATTCCTGCCCATGGCAACTTCCACAGTCATTCGATATAGCCGGTGTTTTCTCTTCCTCTTCTTCCTCATCTTCCTCTTCTTCTCCTACTCCTTCTTCTTTTTTGAGGTGCTAGGAATGGACCAAAGAATCATATTCACGCCAGGCAAGCGCTCTCTGTGTGCCATATGCCCAGCCCTTGGCTGGCTTTGTTGGTGACACTCATTTACCTAATGTAATGCTGGCTTAAGCTAAATGACCATGGTAAAGTGATATTTCAAAATGTTCTGAAAGCCTGCAACACTTTGAAAAGTTAGCCCCATCCACTCTTTATTTTTCATTTGTAAAGTGAAGAATTTACATTTACCTCAGGAACAACTTGCCTCGGACTTTGTACTTAAGCCTGTTCCCTAAATCTGTCAATACTGTGCCAGTTCTGTTCCCACTGCTGTGAGGAAATCGACAGGAGAAAGGAAAGGTTGGTCTGGGGTCACAACGTGAGGGTGCAGTCCAGCACGGTGGGGAGGGAAAGGCAGCAGGAGCATGAGACGGGTGGTCTCACTATCTTCACAGTCGGGAAACAGCAAGAGGGGAACGCTGCTTCTCAGCTCAGTTATTTCGTTGTTTTGTTCTGTTGTTTTTCTAGACAGGGTTTCGCTGTCTAATAGCCCTGGCTGTCCTGGATCTCACTTTGTAGACAAGGCTGGCTTCGAACTCAGAGATCTGCCTGCCTCTACATCTTGAGTACTGGGATTAAAGGTGTGTGCCACCACCACCTGGCTCAGCTCAGATTCTTGTTTGTGCTCGGTCTAGGAATTAATCCATAGACTGGTGCTTCCCACATTTAAGGTGAGCCTTCCCACATGAATTAATGCTATCTGAAAACATCTATGTCCTGAAGACATGATCAGAAGTTTGTGTCCTGGATATTCTAGGTCTTGTCAAGTTGACAATATCAATATCATCATAAACCTTATGAAATTTGGACTAGAACATATAAAGAACATTTATTTCCAATAACCAAACTGCATGACTCACCTGAGGTCCCAGCATGCTTCCCAGGGAACATGCGGACCTCTTGCTGACAAGGCCAGCTACACAGTGGAACAGTGCCCTGCTGTTCTGAGTACCCATTTCAGATGAAGACTAGACCAAAGCAGATGGGGGGAAGCCTTGGGGACAGTGGAAGGCAGATTCAGGGGACTGACTACCAAGAGGGTAGTCAGCTGTGTGTCACTCCTTTCTATAAGCCAGTGTCTTGCTCATAGTGGCCCGCCACCTTACATTATGCTTCTTGGGGGCTAGCCAAGCTTGGGACTCTCCTGAGAGCATGTCAGGACTTCGTCATGCCCACATCACCTCTGCCTTACCTGTGTATATTCCTTGTGCTTTGATCACTTCCCCTCTCTTCAGGAACAGTCTTCTATCACGAGCTCCCACTCCTCCCCTCCCCTCTCCTCTCCTAATCCCTCAGGCTTCTATCCTGTTTTCTCCTGCCCTCCCCTCTGCTACCCCTCCTCTCTTATACTCTCTTTGCTTGCCTTCACTCTCCCTGCCCTGCCCTCCCTTACTCTCCCCTAATCCACAATACCCTTCCCTCCTTTGTCTTTCACCTCTTGGCTTGTCCTCACAGACAGACACCAAAGTCAAAGTGTTTTTAAAGGAAAGAGTTTCTCCTTAGTCTTAGTTGGGGTTCTCACCACTGTAAAGAGACGCCATGACCACAACTCTTATAAAGGAAAAACATTAGCTGTGGTGGCTGACAGTTCAGAGGTTTGTCCACTATCATCATCACGCAACATGGCGGCATGCAGGCAGACACAGGGATGGAGAAGGAGTTGACCTGTCGGCAACAGGAAGTGGTCTGAGACCCTGGGCATGCCTTGAGCAATTTGGTTGAAGGGTTTGGGGGAGCTGTTCATCCTGATCAACCCCATCGTTGTCTGGCTTGGGACTCTCTCTGGTTCGTTGCTCTGGCCTGGACTTCCCCGAGCCACTACTTCTGTGTTGACGCAGCATGACAGGTCTTTCTCTGAACACCACGCCATGACTTTCCTGTGTATGGGAGAGCCCAGATGTGATGCACAGTATATAAAGGCTGGAGACCGGCTCTGATCTGGGGGAGGTTAGTCCTCTG